CGCTGGGGGAGGAACACTGCTCTTCTCTTTGCTTTTTTCTTAAAAAAAAAAAAAAACAAAACCCGGTTATTTTTTTGTCAAGCTCTGGATGGGGATGGTGTGTGTGTGGCAGCGCTCAGGATACCTCACACTTCTCGGTGTGTGGCAGTCGGTAATTGTATGGCAGTGCTCCCCTCCCCCCCTCAGCGCAGCGTGACAAGGGGTTGCATGATCCGCCTCGTTTTTAATGTGCACTCAAATAATCCTCCTAATTTCGGCACTTCTTTTCTTGGTTGTGGTTTGTTTTTTGGTTTTTTTTTTGTTTGTTTGTTTTTGTTTTACCGAGTTGTTAGATTTTTTGTCTCGCTTCTTTTAAGAGATGCCAGAATAAAATCCAAACAAATCAACCGGAAAAAATTCTGTTCTTTACCCTAGCGTTCCTGCAAAGGAGGAAAAAAATGCATGGAAAAAATATATTGCCACTAATGCTGACTTTGTCCCTAGAAGCAGAACATGGCTATGCATCAGTGTTACCCTTCGATAGTGACTATTCCAGAAAGAAAACAAAGGCAGGCACCATGGCCAGAAAATCCCAGAATAACAGGTAATAGACGCACCGCTTTTTCAGAATGAATCGGCAGCTTTTCCAATGTGTCTAGCTTATGTGCAGTGCATACATTTATTAAAAATAATAACTAATCCAGTGTCTTAGTTTCCCCCATCCCAGTAGTCGCCATTTTTTCCCTGGATGGGCTTGGCTCTGTTTTGATCTCTCATATAAACACTGCCACGCGTACACCATCTCCTTAGTACTCACTGCACTTCTAAACCATCCGCCCTCATCGCTCCTTCTGCTCCGCGCTCACCAACAGCGGCTTTTTCTGCAGATCTTAACACCATAATCGCCAGCCAGACTTCTCTTTGCATGGCACTAATTTCCCCCCCGCCAGCATTTATTTATAAACCACAGGCAGCAAACCGGCCGCCTCCCCCATCGCAGCCAGAGCAGAAGCAGCCTCCGGTTGCAGCACGGTGCCGGGCTCTCGGAGGGGGAGCGTGTGCGGGGCGGTGGGGGGAGACCCACCCGTGCACTTGAACTTCTCCTGTAGGTATTAAGCAAGAAGGTGCTGGAGTGAACTTGACCTCTCCGGGGCTTCTGCTGCACCGCCGGGTCGCCAGCCCGCCTGCCCGCTGCATGCGATCCGTCAAAGTGCATGACTCGGTCATTATTTATCACGATTATTGTCCATCTTTTTGTCGTGGTAGTGGCGGTTTTGTTGTTTTCCCTGCAGCCGCTACCTGTGCTGTGATGACATGAGCGGAGGGCTGCTGTGCGCAGGCTCTCTGCAGCTTTGTTTGCTGCTCGGGCAGCGGCTGTGTACGTGCAGGAGGCTGTCTTAGAGGGACAGTGCCGGCCCCTGCCTGGGAGTTCCTCCAGTCCTGTGCTGTGCCTGCTCTGCTTCGCTCTTCCAGGGCTTCTCCGGAGAGGACCGAGGACCGTGCCCAGCTGGGCCTGCTTCGCCCCGGAGCGGGGATGCTCTCCCCAGCGCAGGCTCCGCTCTGCACGGTTGTGCTGGATGGTGGCTCCTGTAGAATAGCCTAAAATGAACTCGGCTTGCACGTGACTTGTTTTCCAAATGAGCAGTGAGTCTCGGCGGGCCCGCTCTGCTCTTGCTTCTCCAGCGGGCATCCCGCACAGCAGTGGGCAGCTGGGTCTGCTGGTGCTGGGGAAGCGTGGGGCAGGGGGCCAGTGGCTGCTCGTGGGGCACCGGAGGTGCAAAGTGAAATCAAAAGCTGACGAGCTCCCTCCTCGAGAAAAACACGAGCTGGTGAGCGCCCTGCTCGTGCCTACCATGGCCGAGCAATGTGTCTTGAAGATAACGAAGGGGGAGCAAATAGTTCCCCTCTGCCCCTACTCCAAGCAAGGCAACCATTTCAGGGGTATTAATTGCAGTACTCCTACATTTTTTGTTTTTAGTTGAATTCTTTGTCTCATCTTGGAGCATAGAGAAGACGTCAGTTCATTTTAAAACAGAAAGTCATCAGGAGTGGGAGGCGTGTCTTGTTTCCTGAGACGCTTTGCTCCTAAAGATTTTTAATTATTTTCTTACAAAGTATGCTCGATGCCCTTAAAAAAAATTCACAGTTAACCAAAACAGGTCTCATAGGATTTCCAGCTGTAAACTGCTCATTGAATTGTATGGATTTTTTCTTTTTCTGTCTCTTGCATTCAAGAAATCTGTGTTACTTACAGAGCTACTATTCCATCGTTTCTGTTCTTAGGTCTCTTGTCATCCCCTGCAAAATAGTTATTTGTCTGAACTGTAAGCTGCTTTCAGGAGTTTTTAGGAGAGGATTTGTAATCTATCAAATACAGCAGAATTAAAAGGTTTCTGGTTACAGATTTGCTAGTGTTATTAAAGCTGCGGCATACATGTCTGCTTGCAGTTACCTTCCTGCTTTTTTTCTGCCTGTAGATTTATATTTACCTGTTCAGTCTTTCAGTCTGATTCTTACTCTGTAGCAGTGGCAACCTTCAAAAAAGCCATCCTGCGGTACACAATGTATATGTTTACTTACACTTTCTTCTTCTCGCTGCAGTGATTAGATCAGGGGTGAGTTGTTTGTGTTACGGGACAGGATAATGCCTGTCGAGTAATGGTTTCAAGGGTGGCCACCACCAGGACGGTGGTTTGCCTGGTTCAGCACAGGCACTGGGCTTGCTTGCCCGTGTGGGAAACAGAGGCGCGTTGCTTTAATGCAGCACCCTGCTATTTCAGGGACGGAGGTGCAGCAGCAGGGCCGTGTGGGCACCTCTGCGTTGTGCCTACCGACTCTGTACCCACATCTAGCAATCGCTGCTCGAGTCTGCCTGTGAGCTTACATTTGAGGGGGAGAAATTATCCTTACGTTTGAACATCCAATCTAAAACATGTGAAGTACACTAGCATCGCTGGTTTATTGTTATTTGGAGCTTATAGTCTATAGGGTCCGAGCCCCAGACTAGAGCCTGAATTTTTGATAATACAGTTAAATCTTCCTGAGCAACTCAAAGATTAACAGAGGGAGACGACTGGCCAAAGTTCAGAGGATCTGGAGTGGTCGTGGGTGGTGTGAACCACCGGGCAAAGTGTCCATATTGTTCCACTCGAACCATTTTCCAGACGTGCTGGGTTTGGAGCATCAGATGCAGGCAGGCACGATTGCGTACATGTCTGAAATTTATGCCTTATTATTGCACTGTTTTTCTTACATATTACTTAAGGTTGGAGGAGTAGGAAAGGAGCAGATAACTGCACATTTCAAAACTGCAGGGGCTTTGTTGTTGTTTTCATTATCTATTTTTGTATCCTGCTGCTTGCAGCATCTGATCAGATTAAAAAGTGATATATATATCTGTGTATATTTTTTTTCGTGCTTTATGAGCTATGCATATATAAAAGCATGAAAAACATCTTCCTCCTCATTCTTGGAAAATCAAAAAAGAGGGGAGGAGGAGAAAAACTGTCAGATGTGAGGAAGCTTGGTGTGCTGTACCCTTCTTCTTTGTTCTGTATTTTCTCCCCCATGTTGCCTGCCTGCGGGGGTGGGAAGAGCCTACCCCGTGTAGTACAGGTGTGCTGGCCGGCCACTGCGGGCTGGGGGACCAGGCAGGGATGGATTACAGCTGCCCTGTTGTTCAGCGAGAGCGCTGATGGACACCTCTTTCCTCTGCTGAGGTGGTGGTGATGTTCATGTAAGAAATCCTATCTTGAGACTTCCATCCTCTCGCCGAAGGCTGGTGAGGCCTAGACCCACAGGAGAAGGGGGAGGAAGGCTGCCCGCCTTTTGGACAGGATGCTCAGGTCTGGGCTAAGAGCTTGCCCACTTTTTGACTGCCATTAAGTGAGAAGTAATTTTGACAGGTTTGGATTCATGGAGGGAAAAATACCAGCAGAATTACATTTAATTAGGCAAAATCTATAAGCCTTCTGTCCACTGCAGGAATGTAACATTTCTGCTTTGTCCACTGATAGCTTTGGATCAGAAGTGGAAGTGGTCATTAGCAGTTTGTTGCTAAACAATATTCTCGAGGTTATTGGTAGCAATCAGACACAATTTTTAGCCATTTCTTTTTCAGTTCTGCATTAAAATTACTTGATTTTAGGTGTTTTCTTCTCACTCAGTTGCTTATGATGTGCCCTTTCCCATGTCACACAACCCAAACTGCTTTGTTTTCTCTCTCTTTCCGGTTTGCCGTTTGTACCGTCCTCAGCTGAGATTTAGATTTGTTCCCCTCCAGTAGTTTTGACCAAAATCCTCTGGCAAATGAAACTGGATTCTTGTTTTGCAAAGAGGACAGGAGATTGGAGAAGGGCACAACACTGTCTTTTGGGGGGAGGTAAACCTAGGTCACATCTTATTGTTACACTAATACTCATTAGGTACTTGACCACAGTATAATAAATGTCTCCTCTTCACAGAGCAATGGCTGTATTCCTAAAGCAGTGCCATGCAGTCTAATAATTCTTGTTAACGTGTAGTTGGAATTAAAGAAAAGGCATAAATCAAACAGTTGGATTCAGTGCAGTTGTGCCTTGGAAGTGTTAATAACAAATATTCAAAAGTCCCCCCAAGCTTGCCGTTTGATCCAAGGAAATGGATAGGTAACACGTGTGCAATGTGCCGAGGGGGAATATGACGCAAATCTGAAATTTGGTGACGTTTGCTCACGAGGCAAGGCACTCTGACAGAAAACCACGCTAGCCTGCAGATAACTGGGCTTTCTTCTGCCCTGGCTGCAAGGACACTCAGCAGGTGTGGGGTGACTTCAGCTGTGCCTGGCTGTGAGGTGCACGTCCGCCCGTGTACTGGGGAGCTCGGGCAGCCGCTTTGCCATGGAAGGGTCAGAAATAAGGTAAAATGAAAACTAAAATCTTAGTGTTAGATGCCAGTCTACTGAGGTCACAGTTAAATTTACTTGCAGAGAAAGGAATTGGATATCGGTGGTGCAGTGTGTTTGGCCTGTTAATTTAGGAGCTGGTTTATTGAAGGAGGGGGAGCAAAATAAATGCCAGTTTATAAATATATCTTCTGTATCTATTAATTAATATTTTTGCTCATATGTTATATAAATAGACTTGTACTTTGTGCTGTGTTCTGGCGAGAGGTTATACCTAGAAAAAGATGAAAGCTGCATTTGGTGTTTCAAATAAAAACAGAGCTTAATGTCCAAATTCCTCTGTTCATGTGGGCTCACGGTGAGGGTCAACCTGTGGCCCGCAGAGCGATCCCCTTGGTCTGTGCAGATGTTATTCTGTGCCCGCACAAAGCAGCTTAGGGATCAGAGCCTGATTTTTATTTTCTTTTTCTTTTTTTTTTTTTTTTAAATTTTTGTGGGAGGCCGAGAATAAAACACTGCAAACCAGACTGTGCAGACACGGCTCCTCTGCTTTCCTGCCTGGCTTTCTGGATTCGATAGATCTCTCTGGGTTTGCTTTCCTGAAGTTGGCGGCAGAGGGACAACAATTGATATCGCCACGCTTGTTTTTAAAACTGATGCATTTTAGTCCTGATATAATAGATCTCACCAACTGGGCTGTCACCTCTGAGGAACTGCAGTAGGTCTGCAATGCCTGGGAGTTGCAGTGCTCGTGCAATTGAGGAAAACAAATTGCCACCGTATTAGAAGTGTGTTCGGACCTCGCCACCACAAACATGTGGCAGTGCAAACTTGAATGAGGTACTACAGCCAGAGCTCTGCATCGAGGCTGTGCCAGCATGCCTGGTTCCCAGATCCCAGTTGAATGTGCAGGGCCAGTTAAATTTTGCTATGAGGAGAATGCAAAAGTCATTTCTAGTGGATTAAATCCATACAGGCTGTCTCTTCGACAGGCTGTAAGTGATGTGTCCAGTTTAAAACAAGTGGAAAAAACCTGATGACCCAGGAGCAGTGAATACTGGCAGGACATGTCCTTACGCACAGATTTATTGTTGCACCACTCCTCGTCTCGGGTTATTCAGGTGGTGGGCTGTAATGTTTTCAAGTGCGTCCCACGGCAGGTTATGTGTGCAGACAGGAAATTCCCTGGAAGCAAATCGGGATCTTTCCAGCCATAAGCTGTGTGGCAGTCGCATACAGGCAAGACTGCAGGCGTATGAACTGCGTGCTCTTGCACACCAGCACGCTTGGGAGTGGGAATCAGATGCAGACAGTGTGTAGCACCTCGTAAAACTTCTTGCTCTGTTTGTTCTTATTCTTTCGGCCTGGACAAAAGGTGAAGTGCAGGCAGCATAGTTTGCACATGGCCCTCCAAATGCTGTGTGACCTTAGGTGGAGTTGTGTCCTCGGCACATGGGTTGTACACCACCCTGCCAGCCCTGCCTGCACCACAGACCCCTGGTGCCGCAAGGCTCTTGCTGCCGTTTTAAGCATTTTGTTAACTAGCCCGCTCTGCTCCCTATAGCGCTTTAAAATGCATTGGCAGCCGGTAGCGTATCAGTGACTCGCGCCCTGGACCTGGCTCCCATTAGCATTGGGGAAGAAATTTCAGCGGCGTTGGTGATACGTCCCTGCTTTTGTCAGGAGCTGTGCTGGTTTCCTTCCAACAAGATGCAGTGTCTGGTGGGGCACACGGGTGGAGGAGTAGGGGAAGATGATTTAGTAACCAAACAGGCAGCATCATGCATACGGTGAAATCTCAGCTTGGTACGCATGTAGGCATGTCCTGCTGGCCTACCTGTAAACTGGTAGAAAGTTATTCTTTTGCGGGGGTACTTGTCTTTTCTGGGTTAGTCTTATCATCTCAGTTAGCACCTGTCCTAATTGTGATGAATGTTGCATCAAGCACATGCTCAAATACAAGTACCTAGAAGTCTTGGTTAGGGGATGGAGGGTGGTGGAGTGTTAGGGACTTGCTGTTGGAAGTGGCACAGCATCTTGCAAACCAACAACTGCATTTACTTGGCTCCTTCCCCTTCTTTCAAATCTTCTTTTGACAATTTATTCACAAAGAAAATTTAACTGCTACTTCAAAGCTTGTGAACTGCTTGGCATTTGCTAAAGGGATATTAGGGCTTTCTCAGGTCAACAGTGTAGTCTAAGCAGCAGCATTGCTGATCTCCTCCTGAATCTGTGGGTTTGCTGCTGATTTTTTTTTTTTTTTTATTGTTGGCTTTCTCCCTTTATTTTTATCTGGACATTTTTATTGACACCTTTTCTTCATCGCTGCTACCCCAACTCCCCCAAGTTTTGCCTGGAGATACAGAACCTAATATACTGAACTTAAGCTAAACACCAAAAGTCTTCCTTCTCTTGCAGCCACTTCTGAAGGGCTCCTCCAGACTATTTGTCTGAAAACCACAGTTGTACATCTGTCTCTTCTATATAAATATATATATCTCCATGTATCTTCTTAGTCCTGGCCCACACCTTATCTTTTATTGAAGTACTAAAAGACTCCGTTATAAAACGAAGGTAATACTTGGGCTGCTGGTTTGTGTGTAGACCCATTCTTACGGGTTGTTTCCTCGCTTCAGGTTGCATGAAGAGCGGAAGGAGGTGGATATTCTTGCACTATACTGTGCTGTAGACAGTGAAGGAGAGAATAAACAATATTTAGAGAGAGGTTTGTCTCTTCTGAAAACAAACCCAAGAAAAAAATAAACCATCATGCTTATAATAGGGTATTTAGCCTGTTCTGTGGATGGAGCAACTGTCAGGTAAATGTCAAAACTCTTGGTTTTGGTTCCCAGATAGGGCCTGATAGTTTAGGCATTAGTCAGCCTCCCTGCACCTCCTGAAATGTGTGCCTGGTGCCTGTGCCTGCACACATCGATTAGGCATCTGCATCCCAAAGAGCTCTGCAAAGAGGCACACGTTCGCTGCCGCGCTTGGTGGCTGGCATAACCAGGGCAGGCAGCTGTGCCCCTCCAAAGCTGGTCTGGCAGGACGTATCCCAGGCGAACACCAGGGTCACCCTCCAGGAGCCAGAGGTGCCTTGGAGGTGTGCTGCGCACAGAAGGACTGCCAGCTACTCATTGCATCCTCTCTTAACCCAGCAAAATACTCTGTGCAGGCTGGATTTCTTGGCTGGTGGTTCTGCTGGTGCAGCGGTCACCATGCACGCTCACCGGAGCTGGGCGTGAGCTCTGCTACAGCAGGCAGGTCGGAATTGGCTAGTTAACAGCGATCGTGTTCATCTTGTGTATAATTGCCAAAAATGTCAGGGAGGCCATGCCACAGGGCTGAATCTAGGCCAGCCTGTATTTCTTCTGTCTTCCAGAGCTCCCTGCGAACAGTGTCTTTGTGCCTTTGACAGGCCCGTTGGGGGTTTTGGGGGGGAATGGTTCCTCCTGAACTTACATTTTCTGTGTGTTTTCATAAACGCTGGCAGATTTGGCATAGTGTTTGTCACTTTTCATGGATAAAAGGTTTGAGCTATCTCTGTGTGTATAGGAGTAGAAAATAAAAACGGTGTTCCCTTATTATGGTCAAATGGCAAAGGCAGTAAATCACAGCAAATCCAGCCCACCTTGACCTATTAATGTAGCACAGAATATGTGTAAAACACTTCCAGTGTTGCTGCATTGGTCAGGAGCACTTACATGGCACAGTAGGAACACATGTTACCTGATTATGGCTCACTTGATGAAACAAGGTAAAAAAATTAAATTCATAGGCTCTTCAGAAACAGATAGCAGGTAATGGTTGACATAGCTGATGTCTTGATAACAATACTGGGATGCATTCCAGTGATGTATTAACATCAGTGCCGAACCTTGTATGCATTTGAGTTTTTTTTCTACCTGCAGAGGGGCAGTTCACTTAATTCCTTGCAGGATCAGGAGCTGCGCCGGGCTGAAATAAATTGCTTGTGGATTTATGCATTGGTTATTTCTTCGCATGAGCTTTGCTTTCTTTTTTCGCCTCTCTGTGGCTGGAGAGATGCTTTGGTCATCAGTAGTACCTAGGTGTGCTGCAGCATCCAGCTGCGTGCGTGTGTGCGGGGAGAGGCAGAACAGCTTGCCACTGGGCAGGTGGTGCGTTTGTGCAGGAGGAATTTCTCACCCTGGGGTGTCTCTGCTCACTCAGTGGAGTGTGCACTGACACCTCCACAGAGCCGCCTCGGTCAGCACGTCGTGCCCAGATGCAGGCAGGGGTTTGCAGCGCGTTGTAGGACAGCTGCTTTGACGTAATCTGCTAGCTGTAAAAGCTGCCACTGGCTTTGTATCTTTTGATCCTCACGTACTGGCAGTGTTTTCAGTTAGACAAAACTAAATGTCTTGGATGTTGCTGGTTTTGAAGTGGTGACAATAACTTCATTTTAGGAATGTTTTTAATCTGAGCTGTATAAATAAATAAAATCAATATTTCCAGCTGATTCAATTAAAAAAAAAAATCCTCCAATAAGTTAGGGCTGCCTTCTGAAGGAAAAAAACCTGAAGCATCAATTGGGGAGAAAAAAAAAAATCTTGAATCATAGCAGATTGGAAGAGAATAGCATACTGATGTGGTCAGTTCAGGGACTGTGATTTTTTTTTTTTTCCCCCCCTGTTTGTAGACTGAGAAGAATTAAGAGGATTCCTCTTTTTTTGCCATTAAGATGTCAACAGCAACAGCAGTTGTTAGCTGCTGATTTTTCTTTCTGCTTCTCCATGGGCTTGAAAGCTGGCTTTTTGGGTGCTTTTTATTCTTATCTGTTGCCATTTAGATCTTCTAACACTTTCTTCCCCCTCATAATTTTTCTTCACAGATAAAAATCTTGTGGGCTGTTTTTATTACTAACCTGCTCAGTTTTTTATGTCCAATTCTGTCTCTGAATCGACTGAATGCTAATAAATGCAAATTTATTATAATTCCCCCCCAAACCCACGATTTACTCATCGAAGTTAAGTTGATATCTTGAAGTATCTAAGGGATGTAAAGGTGAACTAATTTAACAGCGAAGCTGTTTCATAATCTATGTAAATACTTGTTTTAGAGAGCTCTTTTGCAACTTACGCAGGTGTTGGCTTTTAAATATTCTAAATCTCGGTATGTATCCTTTTCTCTAATATTTCTTTTCTCTTTTTAATAGGTCATCACACAACGAACTAGAAAAACATAGGTAAGTCTTGAGAAAAAAGCAAATTAAAAGATGTATGGCTGACATTAGAATTACCATGCTTACTGAAGAATATTTTGTTGAAATTGTTTTGATTCTGCACTGAATAGTTTATTAAGTTGGGAATTTTTTAGAACTAAAATCTAATAGCTATAATATTATTTGGCTTTTTTTCTGTTGTTTGGTATGCTATTTTTGAAACACCCCTGACAATTAGCTTTGGACTGATTAATGCTGTAACTGGTTAACCATACTGTTACTAATAAAGAATCTGATTGCAGCAACTGTTTGCTAGAGGTGTTAAATGCTATAAGTACAATGAAAGTATTTTGTGATTAAGGTGGATGTTTTTCAGGGCACAGTATGTCACACAGGGTTATTCTATGTTTTTCTTAAAGTATGCCTAAAGTGCAGTTAATTTTCATCTTGCATGTAAGTACCTACAGATACGTTTTTCCCCTCCGTCTGCTTCCTTGCTGGTACGTGTCCTGTCCAAAGAGCTGTGTGTGGGCTAGAAATCAGCAACTCCTGAGCTGCAGCCCTGGTTCTGTGCATCCAGCGCTGTGAAAAGCTGTACTTACTTACCAAGGACATTTATTAAACCCTGGAGACCCCATTTTTAAAGAACTCGTGTTTGCACGGTTTTGGAGGCAGTGTTTACCATCTATTGTATCTTGTCAGAGTTTGTTTGCAGATGGGATTTTTAGCTGTAGGAAGTCTCCTGGGGTACGCTGCTGTGAAGGTGCACGCAGAGAGCTGCCAAGTGCAAAAGGTGCCCGTCTTTGCGCTGGCTTTCGGTTCCCCGGCTGAGCAGCGCCGTGGCACCCTCACTGCAGGATCGCTGCCTTTCACTTACCATTCAGGCAGCAGGATGAACTCTCTTTCGGGTAGTTTTTTGTTCTTTTTCGTGTAGTTTGCGGTTTTTCGGGTTTCATGCATCCAAAGAAAGCAAGGGGTGTATGTGTGAATATGACTTAAACCAATTTGCATGCTTCTACATACGTGAAACGTGGTTGATGGCACAAGACTGAACTCGTGGGGCGGGTGCGTGTGTGTGTGTGTTGTTCTGTGGCCGCAGTTACGTAGCAGCTAGACCATCACTTCCCTTGCATGCCTACATGCTTTCCTGTAGTTTAATTGTAATATGAGTGAACTATAGCCCTGCCTAATAGCCACGTGGTCATCCTAGAGATGAGAGGAACTGGGGAAGCCTCAAGCTCACAAACAGGCCTGGGCTGCAGAATGCAGTGCACTGTCTGAGGCAGTGAAATCAGCCGGCAGAAGTTCTGCTGACAGAGTCTTCAGGAAAATAACTTCATGCAAAATTCTCTCCTTTGGTCACACTTCTTTTTAAAAAAAAAAAAAAAAAATCTTTGGCCTCAACTGTGCTTCTTTCTCACTCTCATTTTTTTTCCATCCTCTTTCCAGATATTCTGTTCCATTTCTTCCTTTTCCCCTGCTCCATCATTACTGACTTGTCATCATCTAAAACTACATATTCCTTTTTTTTTTTTTTTTCTTCCAGTCATTTTTATAACCTGAGAGTGGAGTTGCCTCTTCCCCCTGCTCTGCCTTAACATGTTTAATCAGCATGGTACATGAGGCACAGCAGCATTTGCAGCAGATGCAGGGGCAGAAGAAGGATCTATTAATTGTTCCATCTCTGTTCTCACGTTCAGTTCTGTGTTGTATCTTTGTAGTAGATGGAGCATATAGCATTTGCCTTGCTAGCTTTTCTTTCTCTGCCATCTCAAGGTCAAAATAGGTAAACTGCAAGGTATGTCTTGTGATTATACAACTAATGTTTGTAACTGCTGCCACTTGCTGTACTTCCTACAGTTACACTATACTTGAAGCCAGATTTTATTATTTCTGGTGAGAACCTGCAAATTAGTGCAAGATCCTTCTGTGTGCAAACAGGTGTTCACGAAAGCAGATCAGGTATGCGCAATTGTAGTTACCTAACGTATGGGTGTGAAGGACTCTTGTAATTTTAATTTTTTTTAGCAACCCCCTCCTCTGGCACTGTGGGTGTGAGCTGATAATACCAATCATACTGGTTTTCACTCTGTTTTACTAAAATTGCATTAAAATCCATCGAGCATCTTGTAAAGTTTAATGGAAGATTCACAGCCATAGTGAGTCCCTGTAGCAGCTGGCCCTTGCAGCAGAGCCCATCCTCTTCCCCCCGGCGCAGCCCTGCCCTGCTGGCTGTGAAGCACTCGATGTTGATTTTGGAGGTGTATCCTTTCCAGGACCAGCGCCTTTGACTCACCACTGCCATGATGCTTCTGGCTGAGACACGCTTGGTTATCTCACAGGAGCCCATCAAGGAGGAAGAGAGGAGATGGCTGCTCATATCCTCCTCCTTGCCCAGTCCCTCACGTGGTGTCTGTGGGCTGGACTGAGGGCTGGAAGGCAGGGAGATGGCTTCCTCATTTACAGGGCCTTTGTGTCCTGGATGAGGGTGGCCAGAGCTGCCACTAACCTGAAAGCCAAAGTAGCCGTGTACTGGTACACGGTGCTGTTCAGGTTCTGCATTGGTGTTGCACATAAGAGGTTTTATCTCTGGTTTTGACATGAGTGGGAATGGCAGTGGTTGATCTCTGTGTGTGTGCAGACTTGGCCGTTTGGCACCACTACTTTAATTTGCAGTTTCTCCTGCTGGGTCTCTTTTCTGTATGCTCTTGAGGGGATGCTCAGAGGAAGCAGAGATCATAATTCCAACAGAACTCTTTGTTATATGGTAGAATGCAGACTACAGTTATGGTAAGGTGTTAGCAATTCATACATAAAATTCCTGTTTCTGTGCTTTAAGTCTCCCTAGATACCCTGCTCAGAACTTCAGTGTGTGTTCATTATAGTGAAACTCTGTAAGGACTCATCCCTCTAATGGCAGTCCTGTTTTGGTCCTGTGTGATTAAGGTGTGCATCTCAGAACCATGAAACAGGAAACCCCCTAAATAAAAAGAAAGAAGGCAGGAAATCTTCTATTGTAAGGACAGATGAGGTTCTAGAAGATACTTTAGTAATTACAGACGGGTCAATCAGAATGGCATTCGGATGTAACTAGTTCCTAATGACAAGTATATACATGTATATTCATGTATATATATTTTGTTATTGTTTCCAGCCAGACCATTATATCAGTAGGCTTTCACAGAGCAATGTAAATAGCAAGTACATTGGTAATCATGACTTCTTGCAAGGCAGTTTTTAAATCAACCTAACCTGACAGCTGTACCGAGGAATTCAACTTTCATAGTGTAAAAGAAACAAGAATCCACGAGAGGCTTAACCTTCTTAAAAAGATACGGCATAATCTCATTTATTTGCATCAATTTATACTAGTTCTACATTACAATGTAAAAACCAAGGTGTACCCCCCTGAAGGTTGTACTGAGATCTTCACGCTGCTCTGCGAAGGCAGTGAGCCATCTGCCCTCTGCTATTCACCTGTGGACTTGTCCCCCCAGCTTGCGCAGGACTGCGGGAGGAAGCGACAGCTCCCTGCCGGGGTGCATCCTTTCTTGTCGGAAGCAGATGGAGCCCTGACGAGGGGTACTGGGACCGACCCGTCAGGGCTCCTTTGGTGACAAAGTCATTTCACTCCTGCCTGGCCGTGAGGAGCAATGCTGCAGGAGGAGTTCAAGATCTTGTCATTTCTGTGGCCCAGTCTTTGAAAACAGCTTGTGAAACTGAATGATTTTAAAGAACAGCTTTTAAGAATTAGTGAGGAAATTAATAAAAGCGTGCCTCGAAATTGGCAAGCTGCATGCTGCTGTCTCCAAGCTGTGTGTGAGCCTTGGCTGGGTGACCATGGTACAGCTTGATCTAGATGGACAGTTATCTCCTGCCTCTGTCAAACCATTTGCGTTATTCTTTGTGGGGGCTTGGGGTTTTTTTTTAGTCAAGAAGGAAGGAAGGGGCAGAATCAGCAGGGGTAAAAGTTGTCCTGCCTGCATTCCACAAAACAGTAAACTCCTGGCAAGCAGTGGGAGTATAATTAGAAGAGGGAGCTGATTAATGCCTTTGGGCAGGATGGATCTTGAGCACGGCAGTGCTCAGCAGCACAGCGTCTGAGTTGCAAGTGCTCTCCTGCTTGGAGGAGTCAGCAGATCCCATCCCTGGTCCCTGGGCACAGGTTTGACAAAAGCTGGTGAGCTGAGCTGGGTGGAGGTAAAAACCAGGCATTGCTGTTGGGAGAGGTGTGCTCTAGGGGCATTTCCCTGCTTTCCTGTGGAAATTGCTCCGAGAAGAAGTGCACAAGTGTTTAGCTCAGTCACTGGGTGTTGGGTGGGACAAGGAGCCGTTCTCACTTGTTCAGGGCTCGCTAGTTTGTATTGTAGTGAGCTGAGACTGCCGTGGGGATGGCCTGGATCAGCTGAGTGGGACAGCCCTGAATTTTTAGAAGTGCAAGGCCAGGATGGGGAATACATGAGACATGGTGACTTACAAAACCTTTTAGTAGAAGAAACCAAACCGTTCCTTCCTCCCAAATGAGCCTAATGTATGCATTGTTTATGGTGCTGATCAGGCAGAGACTGAAAGTGTTCCCATGCATGCAGAAGGCAGTGCAGTCCTGAGTTTTGGGTAGTGCTTTGTGTATTCTTTAAACCTAAAATCTTGCCAGAAAAAAAGGTTGTTACAGTGCATCATCATGTGTATGAAGTAGATATCTGTATATAAATGCAGGCTTTGATGAAAAATGTATGTATTTTTGATGGGAGCATTATGAGGTACAATACTAGCTGATAAAGTAAATAGAGTAAGGTGCCTCTGAAGTTCAGCTCTAATAGTCAGTTTTCTCATGATGAAAGAAGTGCAGATGAGCTTGCCAGGAGCACAGTTACATTCATTGGTACATTAATTTCACCCACCAGGGTTACTTGGAGTTTAAAGTTTGTATGAGCTGAGAGAGTGCATAGATGGATGTCTTGAAATTCTGTCTGTGGTTCTTCACATTACTAAATTGCAGGGTTAATGAAAAGCATGTAATCGCC